CGGGAGGAGGAGGCTGGCCCCGAGGAGGCGGGCCTGAGCTGGGCTTTGGCCCCAGGCTCGCGCTGATGAAATTATTAGCAGTGACTTGCAAAGCGGTGCCCCAGAGCGAGGTCCAACTCCACATACAGCTTAAGTACTTGAGGTGGAAGAGCCTGCGGGGACCCCGTGGGAAAACAAGCCATAAAAACGGGGGCTCACCGAGAGAGCGCCCCGACTGGTGACAACCAGAAACGCCTGCGGACACACAAAGGTCCCCTGGAGAGATGGGCCCTGGCTGAGGACCCCTGGGCTAGAGAGAAGGAGGCTTCCTGCTCAGAGACTCGGGCTCCTGGGAAGCGCCTCCGGAGACCCCCCTGTTCCCCCCCCCCCCGTTTGTTCTAAGTCCCTGCTCCGCCAGTGGTGCGCTGACCGCAGCGGTGTCCAGGGCATCGTGCCCAGCAGGGCATGGAGGACGCCCGCGGGCTGACATCTGGGTTTCCTAGACGCTTCCCCCTGCCCGCCCCCGGCACTGCCCTACACACTAGTCTTGAAAATGCACCATTAAGAACACACCCCTCTCCCCCAAACCGCACTCAGAAGGCAGCGTTGTTTGATCCCAACGATCCATCGATCGTGGCTTGGAAACTTCTCAATGGGCAGCCCCGGAGGCTCCACGGAAGGTCTTGGAGATGTCGTGTGCGTCCCACTCCGGTCCAGGCCCTGCCGACAAAGCAGGAAGTCACCTCCAAGCAGAGAGGAGGTCTGGACCGAGGCGCCCTCTGGGAGCGGCTGAGTGAGGGGTTTGGGGGGAGGGGGGTTGTATGTTTTCTTAATATTAAAGCTTGATTGTTTTATTAAAAAAATCTTTTTATTGATTTCAGAGAGGAAGGGAGAGAGAAACATCAATGATGAGAGAGAATCATGGACCGGCTGCCCCCTGCACACCCCACCACTGGGGATCGAGCCCACAACCCGGGCCTGTGCCCTGACCAGGAATCGAACCGTGACCTCCTGGTTCCTAGGTCGACGCTCAGCCCCTGCGCCCCCCTTTCGGTGCATATCTACGAGCGGCACTGCTGGGTCAGATGGCGATTCGCGGTGTAACTTTTCGAATCGCCGGCAAACCAGCATTTTCTTCCCCGCGCTGATGAATGTTGGCTTCCTTCCTCCTCCTGCGTTCACCTTCCAGCACTCACCCTGGAGGTCTCCATCACCTACCGAGTCCTGGAGGTCTTCCCCCAAGGCCGCCGCGTGGTCATCACCTGCCACTCGCAGATGCCCCCGCCCGTCACCTACTCCCTCTGGGGGAGCCGGGACATTGAAGTTTCCCAGAAGGTGGTGAGAACCCGTGACCCTGTCTCCTTCCACATCAACGTCACGCTCAAGTCCAGGCCAGACCTGCTCACCTACACCTGCCAGGCCAGCACCACCGGGGGCCTGCGCCAGGCCAGCACCACGCTGCAGATGTACTGGGAGCTGTGGGCCAGTGAGTGCAGGGGGAGTAGGGGGCGATGCGGGGAGCAAGGGCTGGGAGTGGAAGCCTGGGGGCTGGAGACTGGGGGCTGGGGGCTGGGCAAGGGGTGTCTACCTTCCAGGGCCTCTCTCAGTCCTTTGGGGCCTGGTCACAGGCGTCACAGGCGGGGTTTAGATCCTGGCTGGGCCCCCAGGGGGCTGAAGGGAGAGTGAAACAGCGCCCCGGGGCTGAGCTCAGACCTCAAGCTGCTAAGGGGCGCATGTGGGGTTTTATCTGGTTTCATCTTCTCAGCAGCCGCGGGCACGGGAGGAAGCTCAAGCTCTTGGAGATTAAGACCGCTGTCCCAGGCCCCGGTCTGCAAGTGGCAATGGGTGGCAACCCCACTGCACGGAGCCCCAAGTCCTGCGTCCTTCCCGTGCTACCCTGAGCTTCCCCCAGGGGTCCTTCCTGGTGGGAGGCATGGCGTTGCAGCTGGAAGCGTTGCGGACCGGGGCTGGGACAGTGACCCTGTGGCCCGAACCTGGAGGCGGCCTGGGGAGGAGAGCCCTGTGCCTGGAGCACTTCAGGTGGAGGGTTCAAACTCCCACACTTCCAGGCTGTGGGTTCTTGGGCAAGTCACTCAACCTCTCTGAGCCTCAGCTGCTTCATCTACAAAACAAAGATGGCAGCACCTACTCCAGGGGTACGGAGGGGCAGTGGGGGCTCTCAGTCAGTGGTCAGGATCGGACCAGGCATGGGGCTGTTCAGAGCATCAGGTGAAGGCCTGGGGATTCTAGAATCTAGACTCTTCTAAGTAGCACTTCTTGTCCTGAAGGAGCTTGTATTTCAGCAGAAGAGTCAAGACTGGAAGATTAGAAGCAGGGTTGCCAGATAGATTTCGCATAGGACATACTCATACTAACAAATGATTTGTTGTTGCCCTGGCCGGTGTGGCTCAGTGGGTTGGGCATTGTCCTGTGCACAGAGAGGTCACCAGTTCGATTCCCGGTCAGGGCACCTGCCCAGATTGTGGGCTCGATCCCCAGTAGGGAGTGTGCAGGAGGCAGCTGATCGATGTGTCTCTCTGAGATCGATGTTTCTCTCTCTCTGTCTCTACCCCTTCTGCTCTCTCTAAAAATCAATGGAAAAAGGATCCTCAGATGAAGATTTAAAAAAAAAATTATTCATCGTTTCCATGAAATTCAAATTTAACTGGGCGTCCTGCATTTCGGTTTGCTAAGTCTGGCAACCCAGAATATACTACATGAAACTAACACCAAATGAGAAATTGTGAGGTACACACTGCAAGTAGGGTAGAAGCCCAGACACAAGGCGGAGGGAGTAATCCAGACGGCTTCCTGGAGGAGGCGCAATCACAGTCAGGCCTCCAGCTGATTATTTGGGAACAGGGGAACTTGCTGGGGAGCGGGTGTTGGAGTCTCCCAGTCATGCCTGTGCTTCCTGTCCGCCCCCACCCGCCCCCCAGAGCCTGTGTCCCAGCTGCAAACTGGCCTCACCCTGCTGGACAGAGGGGCAGGCCCAAGGTTGGAGATGTCCTGCCAGGCAGCCTCGGGCAGCCCACCCATCACCTACAGCCTGGTCGGGAAGGACGGGCACGTCCACATGCGGCAGACGCCGCCGTACGGGCAGCCCGCCAACTTCTCTGTCCTGCTGACCCAGTCACCGGCCTGGCTGCAGTGCCAGGCCCAAAATGGCGTCGGGGTCCAGAGCAGCCCCCTCACGCTGGTGCCCCCAGGTGAGAGGGCCCCTGGTTTCCAGAGGGCAGCTGGCACTGCTGGGTAGGTGGGTGGGAGGTGCCACGGGCAGGGCAGGGCACCCGGAAGCAGCCATGCCGACCCTGGCCCTACCTGCCTCCCTCCAGGCCAGCTGCCCAGGGCCGCCACCTTCGTGCTGGCTGCCAGCCTCACCTCCATCGCAGCCATCACCTCTGGGATGCTGGGCTGGACCGCGCGGAGCAGGTAGGTGGCGGGTGCCGGATGGGGGAGGAGTGGGAAGAGCTGGTGGGCTGAGTGGCCCAGCAGAGGCCCCGCTGGAGAGCAGAGGGTGGTGGGCTTTAGGGCAGGGCCGCCACCAGGGCAAGGAAAGGACTGTATCCGTATCACGGTGGGTGGCTTGCAGGAGCTGACGGAGGACCTACTGGGCGCCACGTGCCTGCTGAGGGCTTGCTGCTCCTGCCTTTATGTGACCATGACCCCTGGTCCCAGCTGCCCGCCCTGCAATGCAGTCAGCTCGCCTCTGGGTGGCACACTACCCTGTGGTCCTACGGGTCTGAGGAGGGATGTTGGGTTGGGGGACATGCCTCCTGGGACCAGGGGCTTCTGACCTCCATGGGAACCTCGGAGTCAGGGATGGGGCCTCCTGGGGTCCCCTCTCCCAGGTCATCATTTCAATGACTTGTAAAGTGACCAGGGCAGTGGTTCGCGGCGGCGTGGGGCACATGCCCCACAGGGGGGCAATTTGATTTTTAAGGGGGGCAATTTGAGGATGAGTTATTAACAGTGAATTTTTTGCATTTCTTTTGGTTTGAGGGGCCTCGTCGACAGTATAGAAATACATATTGTGACGTATTTATGCATTTCAGGTCTCTATTATGTTTTGAAATTTTATTTGCTATTTTTTCCTGTCACTTCATATTATTATTATTAACAATTTCTCAGTGACTTCCTCCCCAGGACTTCAGCTGTCCTTCCGTTCTTTCATTTTTCTCTTTTGTGGATGCCATGCTCTTGGGAAGCTTGTTTAGACCAAGCTAATGGCCTTTCGGGCTCCCTCCCGTGACTAGGAGTCACTGTTGGAAGAATTCTGTGTCACAGGGAGCGGTGGCATCAGGTTGTTAGAGATGCTTAGTGGGGCGTGGCCAAGAAAAGGTGGGGACCCCCTGGACCTGGGCCTCTGTGTTGTGCAACCACAGGCCCCATCAGCTCCTGCCTCCCCTGCTTCCTGACACTGGTCTCCTGGCCCCGCCTCCCCCCGCCCCCGCTTTTGCCCCAGGGGTCTATCCTAGGCCCCTTGTCTTCTCTCAGGGTCCCTTCCTCCTTCCCAGAGGCCAGGCCCATGTCACCTCTCTGAGCCTCAGTTTTCCTTCTACAAAATGGGGTGCAGAGACCACACCCCCACTCGCCATGTGACCTGGGCCAGCACTCCCCCTTGGTTGATTCGGTGCCCCCTTCACTTAGTGGGGTGACAAAGCCTCCCCCCCCCCAAGGCACTGATGCCCCTGGCACCATAAAACTCCCAGAGGCCTGGGATGGGGGCTGGGAGGGGGCTCCCTCACCTGGAGTCTCACTTCCTTTGTGTCCAGGTTGTGACCAGCAGGTGCAGGCTCAGCAGAGCCCCCACGAGCCCCATCCTGGCCGGACAGGAGGAGCCCCTGGGAATGAAGAACAACCGCCAGCCCGGCCGGGCTGCTCTGCAGCGAGGATGTCAAGATGGGGGGGAGGGCGGGAAGAAGAGATCCGGGGAGGCTGCCTGTCACCATCCAGGCAGGTCCAGGAAGGAGGTCGGGGGACTGAAAAGGCCCAACTGCACCCCCACCCAGCGCCTCTTCCCCCCACCAGCTCCCCTCTTCCCCGAGGGCACCCCATCTCCTGGTGGCCAGTCCTCTGGCCTACCTGGCCAGCACCCCTCATTGACCTGACCGGCAAAGGAGGGCTGTCTGGGTCCCCATCCTCAGCCTGCACCCCTCCCCTCACCGCCTTCCCTGTTCATTGCTCTGAACCAGCTCAGGAAAGAACTGGATTAAACTCTGCCCCCGCTGTCGCTCTGGAACCCCGTTTCTGTCCGCACCCCATCCTGGAGCCTGGCCGTCTGAAGTCCCGCCGCCTTTCACCATGGGGAGGGGGTTAGGGGGCGCAGCAGGGGAAGAACTGGGGTGTCTCCACCCCACCCCAGGCTCCGCTCCCGAGAGGAGGGGGGAGGGACCGGCCAGGCAGGGCGGGTCCAGGCGGTGGCCTGGGGCTCGGGGGGAGGTGGAAGCGGG